TTTAATAAAGAAACGTATAAAAGCTGCATTGAGTCTGACTATTACAGGAAAAATAAAAGGTTGCCATGAAAAAAAAACCATCTTGGGGAGTTTCATGAATAAAGCTGTTTTGAGCAGGATGCAAGTTACTGAGGCTGTCTGTCTTTCACCAGAACAAGAGGATGAGAATGTTTCTGAGTAAGTGTGAAATAATTGACTTCAGCGTTGCATTCTGGGTTCCAGCCTGTCAGGCTTTCAATCGGGATTAACAGCCAGGAATCCTCCTCCTTGTGATGAATGGTCCAGGAGCTCAATCTGGAACTCTTCAATGACAGATCCATGTCATGGTTTTGGAACAAATTCTTGGTGCCAGTGGGCACTGCTGCTCCTTAGGAAAACCATGAAACCTTCTAGGCAAAGGTACATGTTTGTGAACATAATGGACAAAGGAACTTTCCCTGGGCTCAGGGGGAATGCAAGCAAATTTAGGTCTGTGCAGGACTGTGGGATAATTTTGAATAGGAGAGCAGAGACTATTTTTGCCACTTTTGTGCATTGGTCTTTTGTTTTTGAGGAAAACTGGTGTCAGCTCCATTTGGTGCTATAACATCAGGCCATCATCACCTACTGTGTGCTCTCTTTGTTGTATGTAATAAGACAGTACAAAGATTTGAAATTAAATGTGAACTGTCAAACTGATGAGACTGGTTCTGTCAGAAGATGAAACTCTTCATTTGGTAGGGTAGGTGTATTTTGTTTTGTTTATTTTTTTGCTAAATAGCTGTTCAAAATCTCAGCATGTTACCACAGAGTGCATGCACAGAAAAAAAAAGACTGTATTAGCTGTACCCTCCACCTTCACTCCAGAAGCATAGAAGAGCTATTTTCACTTCCCTGATTTATTTGGCCTCTTTATAAGCTCCATGAAGGACATCTAGATCATCCCCTAGTTTGTAGAACTTTCTTTTTTATCTTGAAGATAGCATAATCTTGACATACATCTCTGCATGGCTCATGTCTGAATGTTGCTGCAGGTGTCGGTCACATAGAACTACATAGAGTTCGTGTCCTCTGCACCAGTTTGTCATGTGCTTTTGGAACTACATTTTGATAAAATAATAAAAGTATTCTCTATATTGAAGATAAAGATTTGGTACATATCAGGTAAAGGTTATGAAGGCTGCTTAAAAATTTTGGTAGTATGTCAAGAAAATGTCTTTTTCATACTTTATTCAATGCCTGGATGAGCAACAGTGCTTGAACAGGTACTGAAAATGAGGGCTGGATGTGCATTCCATAGGTTCCTGTTCTGAAAAGAAGGTCAGTATGTGTAAAACTGAACTGACAGCCTGGAGTGGAAATGTTAAAGCATAAATAAATAAAACAAAGCTGTTAGAGTAATCAAGAATAAACTGTTTTAATTTTTTCTTTGCATAACTAACAGGCAATTAGCTTTCATTGACTCATGATGTGAAGAGTGATCGAGAGACAGACACTTTGGTAACAGTCTGACAGTTGGGAAAAATGTTTTTCTTGACAGTTGATTAGGGGTTAAATGAACTGAATAAAATTGGTAATTTTTGCTGCTTTCCCCACTTAGTATAATAGTTATTATATGAAGCATTTTTCCTTACATTAGTTGTAATGACTGACTTTAACTGATTACTCTGTTGAAAGAACTGGTTTTGATTGACAAAGATGTCTCAAAGATGGTATTCGTAAGAGCTGCAAAGATGGTTGGTGCATACAGAACCTGCAATACCTTCTCCCTGCTACCCCTTTCCCCCATAGTTTAAGCACTTATTTAATGATCTTTAGTCTACAAGAGTTTTAATTTTATGGTCATCTTAGAAGTAGCACTTGGATGTAGGTTAAAATATACCATCTCTCTCGTAATAAAAACTTCAACCACGCTTTAGCACAATTGTCTGGAATACTGATGCGTAGACAACTACTTGGGAGTTTTTGCCATGGTCATGTTTTGATAGAGGATGATGGTTTTTGAGGCAAATAATCAGGCTCCTGGGTAAACAAGGTAATAGTGCTTCATCTGCAACAGAGGTGGTGAATTCATCGACTGTAGAGCTGCTGGCTGTGACTGTCTTACTGATGAAAGCAGCTTTTCACAGCCCCTCGAAACGTGCTGTGCTATTTCACTTGTGACACTTCAAAGTCTGTGATTGTGTGAAAGTCCTGGAGTGAAATGTCTTTTCAAAATTTTAGATCAAAAAAGAAATGCCAGAACATCAACAGGAAATAAAACATTTTTATTGAATATCTGTGTAATATGTATGTTTAACGACAATTGGAAAACTCTACTGTGGGGAGTCACTACACAAAGTGAAACAAAATATAAACCACCTCATCAAAAATGAAGGTAAAATACGGCTAAAGTTGTCAGCTCGCGGGCCACGAGCGATATGGCAGGATAAAACACCCCAAACATTTCTACAAGATACAGAGAAAACCCACACAGAGAAACACTCAAGCAGGCAGTAAATATACACAAAGGCAACTAGGATCTTTCTACAGCATCAGATTCTAATACTTCACACAGCTTTGTCAGAAAGGTACATGTGGCTTCTTTGAGGATGAAAAATGTCATCTTGGTCACATGGCAGGTTCAGTCTCTAAGAATCATTGTACCTTACAAACCAGTTCTAGGGTGACGATCAGTCTGGCAGTGTAGGAAGAGAAAGCATTAAGAATACCTTAACACAGTAAGTCAGTCCTGGCACTTTGAACCTGCAGCTATCCTGAATGAAAAACTGAAAGCCTGGAGACCATGAAGCTCTTAGGCTGGAAAGCTGACTGTCTACTTCTTCTCTTTGGTGGGGTTTGGTCCTTAAGGATAAGATTTTAAAATATTCCAGCTTGATGCTTTGCATGTATGTGCCTGTTTTATCAGAAAATGTCTCGCTTGTGTTTTTTCTATGTTTCATGTAAAAAAGAAAGAAAATGGATCTTGCTATTCTCACTTTTGGAGGTGGGGAGAGATACAGGCTTTTATTCTCCTCCCAATAGTTTTACCCTCAAAGTACTGAAAATCAGGGGTGCTTGGCCATCCCTGCACTGACCTCTGAGACTGTCACACCTCTCCCAGAAGCAGAGCCTTGAGGGAGGCTGTGGAATTTAGTTTGCAGTGCACAGTTCTCTGATTACATTCATCTTTGTTAGACACAGAAGACTGATAAGAACAGTAATGGTTAATTCTCATGCCTCCCTCCAAAAGCAATAGCATTTCTCCATTTCTAGGGTCGTTTGCATTGCTGAAAATAATGAACTCTTTAAAGCGTTATAAATATATTCACAGCTTGGAAAGATAAGCGAGGGGCCTCCAAGGACGGTACATGAGCTAGAAGTGATGCCCTGAATGACTTGATGAGATGGTACAGCGGAGGGGCCATGCTGGGGAGCTGTAAGATGACTCTACGGGAAAGCAGCAGGGGCGAGGGCGCTTGGAAACGTAGAGTATTGCACAGGGCTTGACAAAATGCTGCGTGGTCAACCCATTCACAAGAGCATCCTTGTCCCCTGCATAGCTCTCCAGTTCTACATTGGTCCGTAACAACTGGAACTGCTTGTGCTATGCGTTCCTTCGGCAGTGCAGTAGAAGGGAATGGCAGTATTATTACAATATCACTACGGAATAAATTGATTGCTATCCACTGAGAAAACTACATTTCTAAGCACACACGGCAGTCACAGTGATACACAGAGCAGTCTTTCAAGACTCTTATGGAATGACTAATAGCTTCATAATAGTGCCATTTACTACATAATAACATTTAAAACATTTAAAAACTCCTCCTGAAACGAGCATCTAGTATACAGAAGAGGTTGCTTCAGTTTTCTAGAACTTGTTCTTTGTTTTCACTTTTTTTTTTTAAAGGACAAATTAAAACTTAAGTATAAATAGTATATAAAAGGTCACTAGCTGTTCTCTTTTGGCTTACTTTGAAGTGCATTTAGAACTATGGCTAAATTTTGTCATCTTCTGATGGGATTACAATACTGTCTGTTTACCATGAAACTATTTTGTATAATAAACTCACACGGCTGTGTCTAAAAAATATTCTGCATTCCTTCTAATCTGAGTTAGTATCATAAAATATTTTGTTACAAAGTCTAATGTGCAAACTCATTATAATGTGAAATCATGGATGGAATTCACAGTATGCAAATTTTGTATAAAGGTGATAATGGAGAGCTACTCTTGTTTTCATGGCAGCATCTTACTACTGCTGCATCTCCCTCTTCCCACTCCCTGCACAACTTCTGCAGTGGTCTGTCTTCATATGTTAGATGAAATTGTTGCCTCCTGTGGAACTGCTTCCTCAACTTTCAATCTAAAGCCATTTCAGTCTGTTATGTGTTTGCTTTGGAATATATACAAAAAAATTATATCCTGGCTTCTGGCTACATCTCCATGAGGTCAGCCATGGAATTGCTCAGATCATGCTAAGTTTCCTGTGAAAGAAGTCTACCCAATTGGATTTGCCCCTCCAAGATTCACTGTGGACGTGAAGTGTGTGTTATTAGGATGGTCCAGTTGAAAGCTCAGATTTAAGTTGTCCTTTAAGATGTCAGTGTAACACTACTAGTGCCTTACAAGTTGGATATTTTTTTCTGGAATGCAGACGATACAATAGTTACCCTATAATATAGTATCAGCTCTCCTACATCTCAGTCAATTTACATAATTTAAAATAGAACATCTTATTAAAAACATCTAGATATACACAGATTAGGAAACGCTTACAACATACAAATACACAAACTAGAAATAAATTCTCAGCATACTGGTGTATATATACAACTGTGTGATACAATAAATAATTTCTGTCATGCTCTATCTACACATCATATTGCTTAAAAGAAGAGTAGATCTGGGGCGGGCAGTGGTGAAATGAAGCGCCTTTAAAAGGCTCTCTACATTTAAATTTGTGCAAATTAAAACGGGAATTTTAAAGTACAACTGATCTGTGTCAGGAACACATGGCTGGAAATGAAAGGACCCATATTACTGAGGTATTTACAGATACTGGCTAAAGAGCACTATGTGGGCAAATGCAGAAAGGCTTCTTCTTCATCTTTTTCTTTTTCTTCTTCATAATTTAATTTAATTTAATTTAATTTAATTTAATTTAATTTAATTTACTTCTTGACTGCCAGCATGGCATCTACCTCCTCCTCGGGCTGTAGGGTGTGCCACTGTGCAATGGGCCGCCGGGGGTTGGCCAGCATGTCTGACCAGTGCCGCAGCTCCGCGCCGGTGCTGTTGTAGCCCACAAAGACTTTCCCGATGGCATCGTTCTTGCCAATCTTGTCATAGTCCAAAACAGTCACAACAATTTGCACTTTCTGTAATGAGACAGAGAAAGAGCAGCGAACATGACAGTAAGGGGAAGGTTGGCAGGGATGAATGTGGGGATAGCCAGCCATGGAGAAGTCATGAAGGGGGAAGTGTGCGACAGCTGGAGTAGATTCCCCTAATGAGAAGCAAATCCAAACTTCTGTTTTTGCTTCTTGTGAGCCTTCCAAATAAAATCAGGTTTACAACCTCCCTGTTAGCTTGCAACTTGCCCCCTTGCATTGAATAACTTCATACAGAAATAGAGGTTGATTGTTTTTCCTTTAACAGATTAACAACTTAGGGTAAATTAATTCAAAAGTGCAATTTTACACACCCTTATTTTTTAAGTAAATAAGTTAACAACTAAAGTTCTGAAATGGCTCTATGTTTGCAATGCTGTACTCTATTCTGTTAGTTGTTTTTCTACTTCTTAACAACTCTTACCCATCCATGTAGTATGCTAGTCAGGTATTTTCAGATAAATTCAGAAGATGGCCCTTAAGGTTACTGTATACATAGAAACACGTGTTCTCATCTCTATGCACATGTGTGTGCACACATACAAGCATGTGTATATACCATGTATATTCTGTGTATTCACAGAGAAATCTAGAAAACAGGCTGGGTGCTTAAGGGAGTTGGAATGGATGTTTAAACCCCTGTTGTCTCGGAGCTCTGACACACTGGCACGGCCTCTAATGAGCTGATGCTGGAGTGCCACTTCTATAGGAATGGTGACCTCTGGTAAACAGGTTTAAACAAGTCCCACATGGTCTGTGAGCCCATCTGTCACAGCACACAGACAATTTTCCATCCATTTAGGCTGGGACACACTGGGAAGTGTTTGAGCCAGGCATTTATGCTTGTAGTTGTGTGCACGTACACACTATTCTCATCTTTCAGGTCTCTAGTATTTGTCAAAAGAGCACAGACAGCTATTCCTTCACTGGAGTGTTGTTCTTCCCCAACAGCACCTAAGACTTGCACAGTCTTGGGCTGATTTTACTAAATTTTAAACACTTCTCCTTATAGAGCTTTATTTTTAATGATGAACATACAGTTCTTTTCCTGATTCCAGTGCCAGATTCCTGAATAGAAGGAAGAAATTTCCTGAAACACATTTCCAGAAAGATCTTCTATTCTCTAGAATTAGGTTTTTGATATATCTACAATCTGGACCTCTTACTAGAATGATTAATTTCAGGGCTTGCAGTAGGATTATCTTGTAAAAGTAGCAAGACCAGGGTCATGAGATTTATTTTATAAAGTCCATTTCCTTACAGGATTGTACAGTTCACTGAGCCAGAGAAAGAGATGATTCCAACAGGCACTAAAGTATTTATATAGTTGCTGATGACAAAAGTATACATTGAACTCAAGATTTTCCCTCCCCAGAGCACTCATGATAAAAGGCAATATTCTGAAGCAGATATTTCTAGGTGCCAGAATTACATTTCAGTGTTGCTGTTTGAAATACACTCACTTTTAATGCTACCTCCCTAAATGAACACTTCTGTTTTAGAAGCACAGTACACTCACAGATATAAAAATTAAGCACGAGACTATTTTTTTACACTACAAAAAAATGCTTGCCTGCTGCACCTAGAAGCTTGGGGATAGTTATTACTGGATATTTTTTTTTTTAATGTTAATCATAAGACAAAAATGAGCACTGTAAATGAAGGACCCTTTTCTTTGCTCTACAAAGACGTAAGAACAACCAGCTCAGATAATTAACTTGGAGATGATGCTCCCCTCGTGATCTCTGAACTAAACCTACAGAGAAATGTGAGCATCTCTTTGCCTTTGTATTACATATTAAAGGAGCAGCTGCATGGCAAAACCCAAGAGGTGCTAGCAGAAAGCCCTGCCTCTCCTAATAAACACTTGGATTAGCAGTTTCCACGGTGTGATTAAGCCCTTTGGACTGAGAGGGCCCGGGGACACTGCTGCCTACAAAGGCAGTCTGTTTTGCATGTGGCAAAATATGTGCCTGATCTGCTAGTGCTGATCTGACTTTCCTAGTAATGGGGTTCTCCCATTACCCTTGAAGACATCACTTTCTCTCTCTTAAGAGCCTGAACCCATAGTCACTTTTAAATTGTTGAAAATGTTAATGCTTGGCTCCTTTAAAATTATACAGATATACTGTTATTGACCTGCTTTTCCCTCCACGACCTCTCTTTGTTCTCCAACAATCAAGAAACTTGTTTAACCATTATTTTTTGACAGCGAAAGTTTGCTTAATGACTTTTACATGAATAGCACATAAGTCACATTGATTCCTACCATATTAAGTCTAAATAACATTTAAAATGTTTTTCTAATGATGAAATCACTTCAGTATCCATGATGAAGCAACTTCTAAATTTAGTCTTTTATGACTAACTCAAAATACATTGGCAAATGACCGAAGTCCATAATTGCAGATTTAAAATTGGGGCTATATAATAGTCAAGTAGATAGCTAAAAAAGTCATTCTAATAAACTTATAAAAAACAAAGAAGGCAAAAATTTAAACCTCTAAACCACAATACTTTTAAAATAAACTATATCCACCTCAAAAAATGAGTTAGAATTAGAAGGCAAAATGGTCAAGTACCAAGAATGCATCTAACAAAGGTGCATGCCAAAGCTTTGACAGGGTAATTTGGAGACAACCATTCCAGCTCCTCAATCCTGTCCCTATTTGGAAATCAAGATACTTGTTGCCTAAACTTGATTTGATTAATCTCTTTTTGTCTCTGGGTCTTTGATCCTTGTTATGAAATCTTTCACAAACACACAGACCAACCTTCATTAAAATCAAGGGAAATTAGCCCCCTCTGGATTTCCTGCTTTTTGATTCCTAGAATCCATAGACACCTGTTCATGCAGTAGGGCATGAAGAAATTCTAAATGGACAAGTGATGCATCCAAGTCACTGTGCCCATGCTTCACCTCGTCTAGTTTTGTTATCTTTTTTAGTACCAAGTCAGAAAAATGCAAGCACAGTTTTACTTGAAAGGTAGGACTTGGCTCCTGGGCTTCTCTCCAGCCCATTTGCTATCAAAATCCAAGATACAAAATCTTGTGCTCTCATCTAATGAAGAGGGGGCTCCAAGTTTTGTCCGAGGAATTTAAACACATTAAAACTTTTAAAACTACAAGTTTAAAAGCAAGGCACCTAATTTATACCATGACCTCTCTTACAATCCACAGAAGGTATACACAGATGTTTTAAATGACAGTCATTTAAACTGGGAGGCTCCTGAAAGGACACTTTCCCCACTCAGCTCCACCCAGAAAAGCTGTTGTGTTGCTTAACATCTCCACAGTCCTGTGGCTCCATGGCCAGGTGAGAAGCCAGCATGGAGTTCTTTTCCCACATGCTTCCTTAGATGGTTAAAAAAAGCTTCTCTCTTGAGATAAAAGACAGTTAACATCAAAAGAAGTTAATTCTCCTTCATGAGAGATGGTTTGCCTCCTAGTAGCTCAAAGATAGGGAACTGAGTCCCTGAAAAAAAGTTACATGATGCTTTTTGTCCTGGTATTTCCCACTGCTAATGTAGGAGACTTCCATCTCACTCTGCTGACTCCTGAGACTTAATTTTAGGTACGGAGCTCTGGAAGTAGCATCTGGACAACTACTGGAGCTCTCCTGAGCCACTAAGAGAACAGGTACTGCAGTACTGACCCCTGAGATTCTCAAATGCCTTCTTCCAAGGGAAAAAGTTTTCAAAGTGTAGTGAAGAACTGAAAAAAAGCTGTGTAAGAATTAGGTGTTTTACATTAAGGGGGTATTGCAGTGCTTTCAAAAAACAGGGCAAATAAATGCATATGGAACACAAATTTATCTGCTAATGCCAATTTATTATTTTAAATAATTTAGGGAAAAATGTTATATATGGTTTTTCTTTTATCCCTATACCTTTTTGCTGGCACTTTCCTTCACTGTTTTCCTGTGGATTTTTTTCCCCCAAATCCATTTCTGTTAACAGAAAATGTCAGTTATCCATTTCTCACTGATGAATCAAAGCTTCCTAAGTACTTCATATTTTATAATTTCCCTCTTGAAGCAGTCACACTCATCTAATGTAGCACAGGGCTGGCACCTAGGTGCTAATGAAGGCATGCACATGTGATAATTAACAAGATTCCTGTTAAATATTTATAAGGGCTGAGAAATGGAATGCAGAGGAAAGACAAAACACTGTTTGACATTACCTGAATTTGCTCGAATGGTACTTCAAAGCTGAAAGACTCGTTGTAGTAGGGATTCAGAGTGTTCTTTTTAATTGTAGTCTTTTTCTTCTTCAGCCTCTTACCATTCTGCATCAGATGGATCTTCACATAGGGATCTAAACATTCAAGAGAAGAGGTAGAGCTAAGAAGGAGAGTTCAGTGTGTTTTCTACAATTTTTAATCCCATACATGTAAGAGTAGATTTAAAAAAAAAAACAGATGATATTTACAGCTTGTATTTAAACAAGTTCTTAATTTCTACTATAGAAAAACTCTTGTACAATTGTGAAGCATTCTTGATGGGAAAAGGTACAAAGTATTTATTGCATTATCTCCTTAACATCATGAAGGTGGAGTAAATTCCATCTAACTTTGTTCCACAGCTTATTAACCATCCTGCAAGCATTTCTTAGCAATGGTTTGTGGGTGGTTTTCCCAAGACAGGTGAGTGCTGCCAAATGCACACAGCAGGTACAGAGCTGGCATGGCCGGATGCTCTACAACCACCTGGAAACTATTCCCATCACTCCTTGGGCAGGTGCTGTGTCATGGTTTTCCTGTCCTCTGACCTCCCTGGTGAGCTGTGACTGGCAGGAAAGGACTCTGTCCCTTCAATACCAGCCCTCTGCCCCAGTGCTGCACACAGCCAGAGCCCATGGGGGCTGCAGTGCTGGTGTAAATTACAGATTGGCTTTGCCACTCTCTACTGAATTCCCACTGTCATTTCAAACGACTTCTAGTGGCCAAGGAACTCATTTGGTATCTAATCAGATATTCCTTGTGAGAGCAAATCTTTCCTGGACATTACAGCGCTGAAGAGGTGTCTCACTGATAATTTCAATTGAAGTTTTGCCTGCTTAAAAGAATAGCACTGTGAGTTCTTAATCCATTACAAGAGAGTGAACTAACATTCCTCCATGGAGCTGGTAATTAGCAGTACCATCGCTGAGTTCAGCTATTTTTCTGTTTAGGCTTACTACAAAGCAACATTTGAGGCCTCTCAAGCTACTGGAGTCACTTGATCACAGTCTACAGTTCCTTGGAAGGAAGACCAATTTTGGTAGTAGATTCTTCAAGACAGCAGACAAGGGTATAAAAAGATCCAATGGCTGTCAGAAGGAATTAGAGAAATTCTAACTTATGAATAGGCACATATTTTAGTAGTAGGACTGAAACAGATGGAGTACCTTCTCCAGTGCTGAACTCTCTGTTACAGAGGGTTAAGACTCCTTCTCCCTTAAAAGACTCAAAGTTCAAACAGAAATTAAATCTGGGTAGGTTTACGTTTCAGGCAAGATGGGATTGTAAGGGCTCCTTGTGGCTGCACAATTTATGAATTAAGGAGTATCGTATGAGGAGTAAAATGCTAGCAAAAAGCCAACAGAGGTTTATTTCTTTTTTAATACTGAGAGGAACATCATTGCACACAGGGTTTTGAAGATGGAAAGGAGGCAAATCTGGCCTTCTTCAACAGTAGTTGGTAGTTGAGAAAAACTCATCACTTTCCCTGAGGATCCATGCAAAATGCAAAATTGTGCTAACTTCAAAATGATGGTTTAGGTATACCTAATATATACACTAAGAAAGTTTAGTAGTCAATGAGTCAGTGGTCGAGTGTTAAGAAATGAGAATGAGGTAAGATGCTGTAAAGATATAATTTGAGTTACTACACTGGAAGGCTAAACAGTACAGTAATATATTATTATTAAGGACATTAGAACAGAGTAATTTATTAAAATAAATGCAGGTGATATAAGCCAATTCTTTGCTGATCTGTGCCTTTGCACAGACAATATACACAGGTTTGATGATTATTCATATGTCCTTAAGGAACTGTGCAGTAAGATTTATAAAGGGATGCAGAAATAGTCCTATATTGATAACAAAATCCATATTCTGGAGAGGAATGTTTTTAAACTAGAAATCAATGTATGTGGATGCTTGTAGATCTATGAGTACATTAATTTTAAATTATTTGCTTCTATAGTTTCTATCTTCATGCTTTTATTACAGCAAAACCCAACCTAGACAACTCACAGCCATGGGACAAGACCCACAAGATATGTTTCTGTGGTTTCTTTTCAAGTCCTGATTAGTTTCTTCTGTTTGTCAGTCTGGGGAGTTGAGTTAGGCTCAGTCAAATGCCAGTTGTTTAGTAGGAAAGACCCAGTGGTGCCAGTGTAGTGCAGAACTGAGTGGCAGAGGAACCAAATGGAGCACAGAATGGGGAGTAACATGATAAAATAATCCAATTTTCTTTTATCTGAGGGTAAAATTGTCATGCCAGTCCAAACAGAAACCTATCACTTACCTGAAACCATGTTCCTTCTTTTGTTGTTTCACAGGAAAGTATTATATAAATTTACTCATCACGAACATTTAAAATCAGAACAGGGCGCCCAGCTCAAGTAAGTGGGCCATAGAGAGGTCTCCAAGAGACCTTAGAGATTTTGTCTGAATTTATCCTCATTAGATGGTATATCCACATCCTTGTTTTTAAAGTATCCTGATCCTAATTCTCCCCTCTCCTAACTCTTCTGTGTCCCATACATGAGCCCTGCCAGCACTGCATCATCTTCACTTACATTCTCCCATCTTCCACAACTTTAACTCCCTCAACTCCCCAGTAATCTATCTGCTTGCACTCTACACAGAAAACCTGATACCTAAGCACAGACTTTCTTGTGACTTCATGAATAAATCTCTGAAAAAGACAGATTCTCTTCCACTAAATAACAGAAACTGAACTGCTTGGAATCAATTACTGGAAGAAGGGATGATAATCTAAAGAAAGCAGAACCTCTGGGAAGTGCCAGTCTCCAGTGATTTTTGTGAGATAAGGTTTAGCGTTAATGGAAACGTCTCTCTACTTGCAACACAACCTCAGTTCTGGCCCCATTAGTCATGCTGAGTAATACTTTAACATGTAAATAGTCTTACTGAAGAACTGAGACTAGTAAGGATGAACTGATATTGCAGCCCTGCAATGATAAATTGCCTGTTAAATGCCGAGCCTGGTCATAAAGGGCATTGCTAATGAAAATAAGCATTTCTCTTTATATACCCTGGATAGTTATCTCATTCCAGAGTAAATATTTATTATATTTATATATTATAAATATATTAAAATATTTGTATTTATATATATATATAGATAATATACAATGTATATATAAATACATATTAATATAAAAGTAATAATATAATTAATATATTAATTTTATTTTTAGGTAGATACAGGCAAATAGATTGATTACCCAGAATATTCATTTCTCTCCATGGCTAAACATCACAGTATTTTTAATGAGTTTGATTCCTTTCAAGTAAACTGGGACCTAGTACCACATTACATCCACAGGTATCTCTGGATGGGCCACACCCATCTATCTGAGACAAAAGATGTTCCACCCAGATGTCCCTTGCTGAAGGAGACAGAATAGCTTTGTGCCCCTTGCTTAATAATACATTTTAACCAGTGTGTGGGACTGAATAAAACTGTTCTATTTATTCCCTCATTAACAGTCTACCCAAGATGGCTAAAAAGATGTACAATTCACAACTAATTGTGCATTGTGGATCTCACAGTAATATCTCAATGGAGGCTAGCTGAACTGCTTTTAAAGCATGGGGGAACCAGCTGACACATTTTGTTTTCCTGAAGTTTGCAGTAAGATGCCAATACATTATTTAAGAAGTAATCAACATGGTACGTAATATCAAGATTTCTACAATAATCTGGACCATGAGGCACACATATATATATATATACACACACATATATATGTATAAATATAAAATGGAAAAGTACTACCACTCAAAAGAAGAAAATTGCGGCAAAAGATAATATATCAGGAATAGGTAGAACTTAAGAATGACTGTTTTTCAAGGGTTTTTAAGATAAAAAATGTTAAGAGGGGTAAGTAGCTAACGAAAAATAATTTTCCACATAGTTAGGAGAGTTCAGCACACAAATTTCCATTTCAGTGGGTATCAGAAAAAAAGCATCAACAACATAGTCAGCTTGGGATGGTTTTATTACAATGGCTTATTCTGAATGGAAACAGAAGGATAGTGCCCGTCCTTTTTAAAATAAAATAAAGGCTTCTGCAATCTAATCAAAATATGAAAAGGAAGGCATCTACAAGTTGATAAATTTGAAAAATGCCACAGGGATAATACTGGAATTGATTGTGTGTGGAGTTACAGTCCTGAGGCTGTGGGCAGGGGGAGCTTAATGGTTTGAAGAAAAAAGTCCCATGCAGGTCTGTGCAGTGAGATCAGAGAAAACCCTCTACAAGGGTAACATGATTAACAGGAAAAAACGTGAGCCAGAACAAACTAGTCATAGATACAGCTGAATAGTTTCATATGACAAAACACTGTAATAAGATGTTCTCAACTAAAATGTAGAAATGGTGAAGAAATACGGTGCCAGAACTGCCTCCAGCTGTATTTTTGTCTTCAAAATGCTCAGGATAACTGGGTGCTCATTAGCACGTGTTTTTTTCCATCAGAAGAAAATTTATGCACAATCCATGCCAAAGCTCAACATCACTGACATTTAGAGCAGAAGTGTCAGCAGACAGTGGAGCTTCCATTCCAGGAAGCAGAATGAATTCATGAAGAGCTTGGAAATTGATTCAAGAAGTAAAGAAAATGAGGTTTGGAAATGCAGCTTTACAAATTTCTGTGCAAATGCAGTTAGGACAGAGGTGACATGCAGGGTGCATTGTTTGTTCCAGGCTAAAGAGCCACTCTCATCCTGGAACACAGCAGCGCAGTGGAAAGCCAAGGAAACACCTAGGGCTTAGACCAGAGATTGGGGCAGGGTCGATATTTCACCCTTAGCCTGTTCCACTTTTGTGCAAACAGGTTTCAGGTGAAGTTCTCTTGGCCAGCAGTGGAGAAAACAGCCATTTAATACAGCAAACAACCTCACTGTATCAGGGATGGAGGCCGGCAGCACCGGCAACATCTGCGTACCTCTGGAGAGAAACAGCAGCACAGGCCAGAGCTGGGCTGTGGAAAGCAGAAGGGCTCTAAGAGCAAAGCAAAACAGGAAAAACTTTGCTGGGAGTTCCCACAGATTTGCTGATTTTTCCCAAGAACCATGGGA